AGCTGACAGATTTAATCAATTTGGATATTAACAAGATTCTCCCTACCATGAAATTTTAATATATTACAAGCTAGGACAATTTACAAAATTTTCTTCAGTCTTGTTTTATATTACAGGATTCTAAAAGTACTTCAAGAAAATTATTTTGTTCTGTATTTTCCATCAATTACATAGGTCACACCTTTACCTGCTCAGTACCACACTAAACTGATACACTTTATCTTGAAGAATACAATTAACCAGTCAAATTTAGATTACAGGATTCTAAAAGTACTTCAAGAAAAGTATTTTGTTCTGTATTTTCCATCAATTACCCAGGTCACACCTTTACCTGCTCAGTGCCACACTAAACTGATACACTTTATCTTGAAGAATACAATTAACCAGTCAAATTTAGAAATCTGGGGCTAAAAGAGGCCTAAAAGAGGTGATTCTCTATCTAGGAAACTTTTAATAAACGTTTATTCCCCATCCAATGGAGTGAATCACTAATTGAAATCTGTATTTAGGAGTTTCCTTGCTAAACTAGACAAATCTCTATTAGTTGGTTTTTTTCTACAGAATTAAGCACAGTCTATGAATATTAGATGTCAGATATAAAAACAAAACAATGCACGTGTGCTGTTCGACTTTTGCTGAAAAGTAGAACATGTGAAACCAAACATGACAGTCTACGTGCAGAAAAAAGTTTAGAAAAAAAAGTTTAAAAAGTTTTCAGACACACTTATACAAAATATAAAAACAGATTGGCCATGTCAGGGTTTAAACCCCTAAAAATTTCTCCACTTCCTTGTGATAATATAAATACCACCAGGGTCTGCCAGTGCTCAATTGTCTCAATATGATAACTAGTTTTTATATAACTTGCACATAGCAAATATGATTATAAATATCTCTCAAGAAAGTTTAAACAGTACATTTTCAAAGATGCTAGAAAGCAAATGCATTCTGAAGAGCCCAGAAATCTAGTAAATAAGCATTAGAACACAAAATTTTCTCAGAAGATGAAGGAATTATCCGGTCCTCCCATATTGCCACATGGTACCTTAGTGTCTGATCGATCACAAGGAACAAGGGAAAGTAAATAGGGATAGAAAGATTAAATGTTGCATTGTGAACAGAAAAACAAGTAGCCTGCACATAGTGTGACAGCTTAGAACGGTTCAAATAGATAACTTTAACCATAGAAGGAAGAAAGACATTGTTGTAAGTGCTTTTCCTGCTCATGTTGATATCTGGGTAGCTTCTGAAGCCAGCACAGATGCTACAGCAGCCAAATGAACCCTTATTACTAAGATCCGAATGTATTCTGTTGATTTATCTTTTTATAATAACTTTGTTCCACAAGGCAAAACTTTCTGTTCAAGTCCCTAGTGCTGTGATGAGGTTGACTACCCAATTTGACAGCCGGCAATGCATTCCATTTCCATTAGGTCGTCCTAAAAATCAAGATGCTTAAAATTGTTTTGCAGTGTCCGGGGCCACCCCCGAAGTTATATGCTGTTTCTCCGTTCCATCCATCTGCAGAAACCACTTTAAGATCTGGTATGCTGCAGTCTATGTACCTTCCTATAATTGGATTTAGCTGCAAAGTGTTCCTGGCATACATCAGGCAAGTGGAAAGAGGGCTTAAAGCTTGAGAGTCTCCCAAGCAGTGTGTAACATCTAAGTCTTCTGTCTTCAGTGAGGCTCAAGCACAGGCTTTAGCATTTGGACAAATAGAGCCTCAGCTATTGTTTGCATCCTAGAAGTACATTCAGTACGCTGGCAGTTTTAATGAAGAGTCTGGAAGGATTTGATCCTTTAGGCTATTTCACTGTCATCACTTAGTGGGAATGGAGAGAATGGATGAATTGTCCTCCACTAAACAATTACAGTGTAAGATCATATGTTAATTGTTTTTCCTCCCTCCCCCCAGTTCTAAGTTTTCACACAGAAAGAGATGTTTTAGAAAGCAAAGTACTGATAAGTCGAATTCAAATATATGTTCATTTTCCTAAACTTTGTATTTTGCAGTCACACGGAAAGCTAACGTGCTAAAACATTTGTGATCCCTTACTGACCCCTAGAACTACAAATTACCATTTGTCTGTGTCACTTTATGCTTGTCACAACCAAATTGATCACATGCACCATGCCTAGAACCCACCAAGAACACTACTAGCCAAATGAGTTTTTATGGATCGGGTCGGTCTAACTTGTGACTACACTTAACTTTTCTATATATTGAAGTCAGGAGACCAGACACAGTGAAAAGGAAGAAGTATATCCTTTCTATTCAGAATAGGCTCCAAAATGCTGTCATTCTGTTTTGGAAATTATAAAAGAAAATGATCAGATAGTCTCCACGGACTGACACAGATATGTATTAATAATAAAAAAAATACTTGCACTCCATCACACACAGAAAAAAGAAAAATACAGAGGGCTTTTGTTTCCTCTAAAGTTCAGTGCTTCAGATTTTTTCCATTATGAGTTTGGACTTAAGTATTTATAATAATAACTGCTTTTAGACTTTTGCTTTTATTGTATCAGTAAAGCTCTCGCAAGTGACAGAATAATGTTGAAAATTGCATCCAACATTTCTATGCTACTCTATGGGAGCTGCCTATAAAGCAGCTTTATAAAGAATGCTGACTGTAAACTCTAATACAGATGTGGTCAAAGCCTTACATACAAAAAAAATAATAATCTAAATGCTGTTAATGCCAAAACCACATCAGTGACTGCTAGATACAGTGTCATGGAAGTCTGCAGAGTAGCACAACTGCCACATTATGATGTTAATTTCTGGCACTGGCAACTGGTAATAATGGTGACTTTCATTCTTTCTTTGAACTATCTCAGGAATGGAGCAGTTACTTACCCTCTGAGGTCAATAAAGCAATCATTGGGAGCAAGCTTGTATTTTTCACATCATTTTTACTGGGAAGTACCTAACAACTTCCTTTCACTTTCATCAGCACATACACACCTAAGATATCCACAACACACTGTGAATAGGTGGTCGTAACACCAAAAATTTTTCCTTTCCCCATGAACTTCGATTTCTAAGACATTCTTTTAGCTGTCCAAATGGGAGCTGGTACCAGTCAGCTAACTTAACTCTGTATTAACACTTTATTGTTTCGTTGGCTCTACTGATGTACATCCAGCAGTCTGAGAAGGTTGTATGCCACTGAGTTACTCTGTACAGTGTTTAAGGCAGTGACAATTTCATTCTTTTGTGTGTATAACATCAGAAATGGAGTCCTGACTGTGTTACTTTTTTGAAGCATCTCTTCTCTGCAATAATGTGAGTACTTCACAGTAAAAATCAGAGAGTGTTGAACATCCAGCACGACTTGCCCAGGAGAGATGAGATAGAAAAAACATTTATCAAGGTTCCTGCAGTTGGTGATACTTACTACATTCCTCTGCTGCCAAGAGGCGGGCAGCCCCCTGAACCAATGTCAGCCACAGATGTTTAAGTTTTAGTGAGAAAAGTATAGGTTTTGGTTCATTTTTCTTCCATAATGGCAATTCTACTTAGGACAGTAATGAAAATAAAAAAAGCCATCAGCTTGTGTTGCTGCATATAATTATCGGATCAAAGTTTAAATATTGTCTCTTTAAAAGGATGTATAAAACATCATCATGGCATTATTACACTACTGAACTAGTAAATGGTGCCTCAAGCAATATAGGTTATGCAACTAAGGCAGTCCTGAAGGGAGAAGCAAATAGCTTTACTGATAAACAGCTCAGCAACACTGAAAGAATCTTCTTGATGGCTTCATGAAAAATTCCTTACATAAACTTTAACACACAACCTGTCTGCCATCCAGCAGGCTGCACAGCGCAATGTACACTTAAACCTAAGAAAAGTGCACATTAAAACAGATGATATTGAACAAAATTATTTTACTGATATCAAGAGGCAGCAGGCAGAAGCGCAGTGCCAAAGATTTGAGACCACTCCACAGCCAGTGTCAGGGCTGGAGCTAGATCACCTTCACAGAGTGGAAGAGGGGGGTGTTTATCTCGTGTGCCAGTCAGGAAAAGGAGGAGGAAATGAAGCACAGGGTGAGAGAAGAGTATGGGCCATTTGCTGGGGGAAACTTTGCATCCTGTTCAGAAATCAGTTGCAATTTTAATAACACATTCTCCTGAACTGGTCTGAACTATCTTCAACACCACCTTTGTGCTAGCATCTCCTTAAAAGCCTAGAGGTGTTTTGTGTCTCTAAAGGCATCCCCAGTACTGAGAAGACTCTTTGAAATTCTTTAGTCTACTGCAGGGCACATTTTAGCAATTCCAAAGGCTTATCCCAGATATATAGATTCAAAGCAAGCAAAGATCCCAATTGTCCATGCATAGTTGACCAATCTGTCCTATTAAATATGACAAGCAAAATCTTAAGAGGTAGGACAATGCCTCTCTGGCAGTTTCCTCTGATACTCTTCATAGTAAGAAGCAACTTAAGGTTTCTACAGACAAATGAGTGTCCCTGAAGCAAAATGCACCTGCATAATGCTACCTTTGTCTATTGCTTAAAAAGCATGAATACAGAAATAATAGAAAACATCAGTAAACAATCACCAGCTCTAAAATGAAAGCATTCACCGCTACACAAACAGATCTGTTTTTACTGATAAAGGTCCATTTAGAAAATCCTGATTCTACAGACTAAGATAATGTTTTTTACCCAAATCTCAACCAGATGGATGCAATTTTGACCTTAACGATTCTGTATTTTTTAGGTGAATAAATGGCTGAGAGCCTACGAAATTCAATTAGGGTTACCAAGTCAATAGTTACTTAAGGTCTGCAGTAACTTTTGAATAGCTGGGCTTTAAGTTGCTAACGTTTAACTGTGTAAGCAGAACTATCCTTGGTCAAGTTTATCAAAGGGAAAAAAGGCATCTAAGAACTCCAGTAATTTTTAACCTAATAAATATTAGAGTTCTTAACTCAAATTTTACTTTAATGGTTAGTTTGCTATGCGTTAAAGTACTTACTTCAGGATTACACAGCCTGTACCCGTAGGAGGAGCCGTCCAAAACACCTGAATGCGTGTCCTCCTTCTAGGTGTGCTCTCAGTCACAGCAACAGGACAATTACTCATGAACTGTGTTTCCTCTTCATCTATGATCTAAGGAAATATAAAAAAAAGAATGTGAAAAGATAAAGACACACACAGCCAATGGCTCTCAAACATGTTTTATCAGTTCATGTTTTCCTTCAGTGGGATTATTTATAACACTCTCTGCCCTCTTCATCTATGATCTAAGGAAATATAAAGAGAAGAATGTGAAAAGATAAAGACACACATAGCCAATGGCTCTCAAACATGTTTTGTCAGTTTGTGCTTTCCTTCAGTGGGATTATTTATAACACACTCTGCTTAGCTCAGCACTACTTTGGTAAATTTATTTATAACATGCAGACCACTCACTGAAATGAAAACAAAAAGCCCACAAAATAAAGAGAGGAGAACGATTCAGTTGCAGGTGAACAGAAGTTAGTCCTTTCTGAGCATGGCTGCAAATAAATGGTTTGGTAGATCCTGAGTAGCAGAGCTTCATGCTAATGTTAATAAACTAAGAATAATAAAAGATGCATAATTTCAGTTTTTTTAATATTATGGCAACTGGTTAGGACAGGTGGAACATGCCAGAGAAGAAGGGTTTCAGTTTGTTTACTTTTTGTTTGCTTTTTAAACTAGCCTTTGTTTAAACAGTATTATTTTTAAGGTATCAAAAGAATCTCCAGGTCCAAAGAGGCAATATGTGAATCATAATCATCATAATTCTGAGACCATTATTTAGTCCAATCTGCACATATTTTTGCTTTTTTGATTGTTTGGTGTTTAACAGAAAGGTTTAAGTGGTATAGGTCAACACAGAGGCTGGTTTGGAACTGGTGTTGTTCTAAGGATTTTACTGAAAGGAATCTGTGACAAAATAGCTTTCTCACTACATATGTACTTCATGGATTGTACTTAAAGCCTCCTGTTCATCAGATCTCAAAGAAAATTCATCAGAAGCTGCCAAGTTTTATTTGGAAACAGGCAATGCTGTATATTGCAAAATTTCTCTTCAAAATTACTCAGCGGTCCACTTTTATTCAATGAAGCTCCAACTCACACTACATTAAATCAAGATTCAGGCAATGAATTACAAACCTTACCATTTTGAGAAAGAAGCTGCATTTATGGATTTATAACAAGACTCCACTTTGAAGGAGCTTTTCCAGAATTCTGGTTCTAATAACACACACTCTTTCATCAGATTACAATAAAAAAAAATAATCTTCTGTCAGTAAACATAGCTTTACACAAGTACTTTGACAAAAAGTACTGTTTTACATTCTGAAAAAATGGCAATATCTATTGTTTGACTGGATACACTTTATTGAGCAAGCATCTATGTTGTCTCACCCAATGAACCAGCATTTCCAAACATTTTTAGCTAGGTTAACAAACATTTCTGAGTTTCCATGGCAGAATAGAGGGGCACTGGCCCAGAGGAGCACTGAGAAACCCTATTTAGCTGGTCAACAGGGTACTGGTTAATGAGTTTTAAATCTAAAGCCATTAACAGTATTCAAATTTTTAACACTTCGTAGAATTTGTGTAACTAAACACAGTATGTACAGCTACTACTTTGTTAGATCTTAATTAACAGAAGGCTTAAACTGGCACTGCATGGTTTCTATTTCCACTTGATACAATTTAACATATTTAACTCCAGCATCAAGAAATCCCTAATCCACAATGTGTTTTGGCTATTGACTGTATTTATTCTGTCTGCCTTATTCCTGCAACAGTAAACTAAAGAAATAAAACTGTTTACTTATCTCACAAAAAGGTTGTCTCAATTATTCAAGACCATATAAATCGACCTTTTATCCATATCTCACAGTAATTCACTCTCAATCAAAAAGCAATTTTGATGGAAACTGAGTGAAGAATGGGTGATTTTATACCATTTTATACAAAATAAAATACTATTGTACGTTATATAAAAGCAGAATAATTCCCATCGAAAGGTGTCTTAAGAGGTTCTGAAAGTTCTCTAAAAGGACAGCTTTTGTAGAAAAACAGAAATATTGAATATTACTGTTCAAGTTACACTGGTTCCACATTCTCTTGTCAGATGCAAACTCCTGCTGTAGTATCATAACTCACGTTCTTGGATAAAAGCTTCAAAAATATGTTCAATTCAGGTCAAGAAAGATTAAGTAATTACAGGTAAGTGTAAATACTTTACGACTGACCAGGTAAAAGCTATTCAACAATGATCGATGAACCTTTCACATATGTTGATTTTTCCAAATCTATTTTAGCTTGTCTGACACACACTTCATCAATGAATGTCTCCTGAGAAGCCAAACTGAAATGAACCCGTGTTCTCGAAGTACAAAGTTTCTATTTTCAGTTAACAAGAACTCAGCTGCTTTCATATCCCTCAATATCTTTTGTCCACCAGCAATCATTGTAGACCCATCTGTGATGCATTTGGATGATAAGTAAATTCTTGTCTCCAGGTGAGGCAATCCTGCTTTTTCCCCCCAACAATAAACAGAATCACAACAAACACCAAATCCAACAACTAATATTTAAGGAAGGAGTTCTGAGCAACTGTGCGTAGTTATTACAAGTCAAATTTCCAGCTCCTGCAAAACCAGAACCTGAAATATTTGTTTGAATTCAAGATAGTCATTAGGTTGGAACACATCCATGCCCTTTTCCAATAAAAACACACGAACACAGAACTGTAGACATATTTTGCGCTTCTATAGTCTACCTAATTACTGCAACCTAGCAAGTTAAGAGTTTTCTCCAGGAATACCGATGCTTATAATGAAACAATTTAAAAGTTCTGGTTGCATTTTAGAACATAATCCTTGAAGAACAGGAAGTGGTTGAACCTTAAGGCTACATCACCATTTCCTGCATAACCATCAAAGCAAGACAACATCCAGTATGTGTCTACTGAGAAAACCTGACAATAAAAGAATAAGGTCCTCCAAAAAGAGTTCCTTTGAAGAAAAATTAGACATAAGCTTCCATAATAAGCACTCCCAATGTTGACAGAATACAGTAAAGAACTCCTAAACTAGCTGGAAAAGCTCAAATGCCAGTTGATCTGAGAGGACTAAAGAAAACGTTATTTTTAGATATTTTATAACACTCAGAAGAATTATCCAGATTCCAGGACTTCAGGTAAATATAAACCCTTCTCAAATAAATCTGTTAAAAAGATGGGGTTTCTTCCATATCCATGGAGGTTTGATTCTTTATAAAGTTCTGAGGGGTGATACAGAAAGGGTTCACTACTCATATGAGGATTCCAAATGACACAATAATTTAGGGTGGTGGATGATATTATTGCACTCACACATAACACAGGAGAAAGTATCCTGGCCAACTTCAGGGCCAGGAAAATTAAAAAAAAAATACGTAATCTCTGAAAATAATACAATCCTGATTTTTCCTCTGGAACCAAGTCAGACCACATAGGCATAAAGGAAAGAATTGGCAGGAAAAAGGCATGCAGATTAAAATGTAGCATTTGCAAAATTACAGCTTCCAAACCCCAGGTTATCTGTAATGGGAAGCCTTACATTTTCTGGAATGGGCCAGAAAATTAAATACATGTTGGACAAAATTCCTAAAATCTAAAATAAACACTTGGCCAAAGAATCCGAGATCTCAGAGGGTGGTTCTCTATATGACTAATTCTTTTGAAGCCAGAAACACAGTGTCATTAAGTCTTAATGTTCTACTTAGGTTTTGGTGTGGTTTTTTGGTTCTTTTTTCCATTATGATTGTAATATTATTGGACCAATTTATTCCTTTGGGGAAACTAGTGCAAATCCCGAACAAGACTTTTGGAGTTAAGCTAGATTTTAATGACTGTCACAGAAAGTGGAATTTGGCTGAACTTGAGTAAATCTACAAATATGGAAGTAAGCATATTAAAAGGGAGAATTCACCAGCTCCAGGGTCAGTCTTGAATTCTTTGCATATTCCAAACATTGACAGAGTTGAGGACAAGTTTTAGGTGTTCCTGAAAAGCAGGGCTGGATGACTACTTAGTTGTTAAAAAGATGAATGAGTGGTTTTCTTTTCTCAGAATTGGAACACTTCATGCTGAGTGACAGAACTTGCTATCTGTTTCTGATTTCTATAAACTGTTAGTCAAATAAATGAAACTGGGCTGTTGTTTGTCTATTGTTAAATTTATGCGGTATTTAAAAAAAAAAAAAAAAAAAAAACCCAAAACACCTCCACCAGATGTTGAGGTTTGTAAAGCTGTCCACTATGAGTGAAAAAAAAAAAAAAAAAAAAAAAGCCAAAATGCTATACACCACACAGAAAGGAATTAGTATCAAGTACAAAAGGAGATGAAGCTACATAAATCCTTTAGTGGCTTGTGTCCACTTCTTTAGTTTAAACCACTGGCTAGGATCTTCAGCACCATTTCTTGTTCTGTGGACACATCATCATTTTCCACCCACTGCAACAGCTGTGTTCTACTGGAACAACTGAGTTTAAAAAAAACACAAAACAAATAAACAAAAAAACCAACCCATAGACAAAGTTCACAAGATAAGCATTTTTGTGGGCAATTTTTTCCTTTGGAAGAGCTAATATGGAGTCTAACTTCCAGAATGTTGCAAAACTATCTTCTTGAGAAAACTTTCCCATCATAAAACTAACCCTGGGTCTACGTAATGGTAATAGTATTTTTCCTTTAGAGATTAATCTAGAACAGAGCTTATTATGTTGAATGGAAAACTAATGATGTACGAAGTCAGTTTAAAAAAAACATACCTCAAAGACATGCCTCACATAACCAATTCCTATGACTAAAGGACACAGTATTTCCTGCAGAGTCTGTGTTTAGCATAAGAAGAATCAGAACTAGGACTTTTTATGAAATGTCAGTAACCAACCTTGATGCAGACTGATTCTAATCTATATAGTACCACCAAGCACTGCTGGACTCTCAGTAAGATTTGCCATCTTTAGAAGACTGGAGTTACCCAACAACTAGCCATGTTTTGGAGCATTACAGCAAGTGTGCAAATCTGCTGAAAAAAGGCATTGCTAAAACACACTAGTAGATTATCACTATGTTCTGG